CCCCTTTGTGGATCTCTTTTAGGAATTCATTTTAGGAAGGGATGACTAAAATTACTGAGTACCTTATGCGTTCAAATTTTTGCTAACGTATTTATATACATTCATTAGTTATATATGTAATGCTGCAGGTAGAAGAAATCGTCAAAATTTCTAGAGATTCTCAGACTCAGATAACCTTACACACTACACATTTGTGAACTACAGAGGCTGAGCAGAGTGTAGTGAATCCTCAGTATTTGTTCATACAGACTCATATATCAAACAAAACCAGATAGGTTCTCTGGCTTGTCTAGTCTTATCTGTAACCCAGATCGGTTTCATCGCTTGCTTGCAGTCACTCATAGCTGAGGTGGAACGGTCGTAGCAGTGCACTCATTTCTCTCCTGGTGCAGGCCGCATGTGTGTGGGGCACAATGCGAACATCATAGGATCACCACGTAGACAACTTAGGTCATGCACCATGAATAAGATTAAAAGTAGCAGAGCAAGGGCCATCTGTAATTTGAAGGCTTTTCTGTCTCTAAGTATTATGAACACTGTACCAAATCCTGGCAAGAATCGCTAACACTTAAAAGAGAAAGGAGGAGAGGTGTTATCAATTGCTATGACTTTTTATAAATGGATTAATTATTCTTTTCATTCTAGTTTCTATTTTGATGATTAAAACAATAGTGAAATGTATTTTTAAAATTATGATGATGTAAAGTTACATGGCTTAATGTGTGATTATCTTTTAGGCCAATGAAATATAGCCTATCTAATATAGGATGTGCTCAGAATGTTGGTTTTTACTTTCACCTCACTGATGAAGCTTAAAGATTTAGACCTTGCTGGGTTATACACAACACAATTAATGTTCGATACATGATGGAATTTTTAAGGGATCAAATCTCATATTAGACTGTGTCTGAAGTGACTTGTAATGCAGAAGTCAATTCTGTGATAATCTGAGCTAGTCCTTAACCATAAGTATAAAAGTCTACCTGACTCACAGACAGAGGTTTTAGAGTTTTATCATAAATGACAGAAGAGTGACAGTGCCTATACACAGGGTAAAGTATCGGTGGGACACCAGGGTGTCATAGGGTCAGGGAGAGAATGATTAGGACACATGCTAACCACTCCACCAGTATTCCAAACTACCTTCCCAGTGCTCTAGACAGGATTAAAACGATCGCTTTTGGAGAACATAACAGCACATGAAATCAGTTACATGGATTATGAAACCTAAGGCATAGCTGTGTTTGGTCAGGCTCAAGGTAAAATATGGCAACATTTCTATCAAGATAAATTCAAAAGAGAAACAGTGAGCATGATTTTAACTAAATCCTGGTTGTATACACAGCCCTCATCTCTCACTCCGCAGCCATTCTGGTTAGAGATATACTTCGGACCGTGTAGATCTGTTGAGGCTGATGCTGCACAGAGACAATTCTAGATTTCTGGTCCAAACCTCTGGAGAAAACTTGCCTAACTAAATCTTAAAAATAAAACAGAATGTTTACAATTAAGGTCCCAAAAATAAATATTATAAAACATTGCATTTTATGAAAACACTAAAGTTACAAATTTAAATGTCTATCGAGTTGCGCACTTGTGTACCTAAAGTCTGGCATAACCCTTCACTTGTTACCCTTCACATATTCTAAGAGACAGGCAAATGGCCAAGAAAATAGAGACAAAAATAAGTTTAAGTACCTTTTATGCTGTAAATCTGTAATAACTTCCTACTACTTCTACTTACATCAAAGTAATGCATTTAACAGCCTAATGATTAAAATATAGATTTGAAGCAGTAATGGAATTAACGTTAGTGATAGCTTTTCTTCATTTTGAATTATTTGATTAAATTCTTGAGTCTATATTACATTAAAATTTATAGTTATGTTCGAAGTAGTAATTCATGACTTTAATTACAGATAACTCATTTTATATACTCTATTTTGCCTTGTGATCTTAAAATACAATTTATTTTAAAACATAAAATATTTCTCAAACATCTCAAAAGCATATATGAAACAACACAAAAATCAATCCCTCGCTCCATAATAAAAATGTTATGCCAACATTTTAACTATTTTAAAATACAAAATACTTCTCAAAAATCTCAAAAGCATAAAATTGTTGGCATAACATTTTTATTATGTTGCAAGGGATTGATTTTTGTGTTGTTTCATATATGTGACTCCTTCCACAGTATTAGGTTGCAAACTTTAATCAGGTCAGGTCTCATTCTTGATTTGATGGATTTCTTCTCCAGTAATATTATACAACCCAAACAGTTGTCATTTGCAAAAAGGCATCTGGATAATTTGCATCAAAAATTTGGGCATAAAAGTTTTTAATGTACATAGTACTTTCTTCCCTCCTTCTGTCTGATAGTCTTTCTGTTCTTTTCCCAGTAAAATTGCTTGCACATTTTTGTTCTGTAATTACAGATATGAAATTATGGTGCAAATAGTGTTTCCTAACTTTCATGTTTAATCTGTAAATTTTGTTGATATTTCTATGTGATTAAATCTTCTGTAACATCATTTTTAATCTCTGTAAAGCATTTAACTATGTGGATGAACTATAATCTACTTAACCAATCTCCTCTTCTTCAATTTTTTCTAATTTTTATAGGCACAGCTTTTTTCTTTTTTTTTTTTTGGTTTGTTTTTTTTTTTTTTGGTTTCTTTTTCCGGTACCGGGAATTGAACTTACGACCTCGCGCTTGCCAGGCAGGCATTGTGCTGCTGAGCTAAATCCCCAGCCCCCTATAGGCACAGCTTTAAGTGTCCATTAGCTAAAGTTTTGCATACATCATTTCATCAAGATTAATTCCTAGATGTACACTTGTTATCTAAGAAAGAATACAAAATCTTGACTGCTTTATGGAATGCTATGACCACACAGCCTAGGTATTCCCATGTTCCAAAACCCTCATAAGCTTTTATCTTTATTGTTTGTCCACATAACGAGAAAATGCTTCAATATCTTCACGTTGAATGAGCAATTATTTGATGACCACGAAGGCTGAATGTTATTTTATGCAATACTAGTTATATTTACAGACAGAGGAACATTTTCTAAAAGATCTGTAAGTTCCCTTGTATGGAAGACACAAATTGCACCAATCTAAGTACATCCAAGTTCTTATTCTAGGTATACACTGATGATATTAAACTTACAGAAGTATAATGTTTGTGCATTTAATGAAGGGGACAAGCAGTCAAAACTCTGATCAAATTTCATTGGAATATAAAGAATATTACTGGTTGTCACAAATAGATGCAATTACTTTAAATGATTTCATTATATATGTTGTGGTATAAATCTTACTGAAACTACACATTTCCTTTCATGAAATCTACACTTCTAATGTTTTTAATGTCTTAGATTTTGTACATTTACATTCCTTTCAAAGCTAGCTCAACTCACTTGAATTGAAAATATGTTTATCTATGCATGATTCTCATATATTCATTAGATGATCATTTATGTGATACATGAGATGTTCCTTGAAAAGCATCTGTTAAATCAGAAGCCTTAAGATGTTATCCATGGGAAGTTGTGCATACTAAGATAGACCTATCCAGGGCCAGGGATTTAGCTCAGTGGTGCCGCTCCTGCCTGGCAAGCATGAGGTCCTGAGTTCAATTCCTGGTACCCCCCTAAAGTTATCCTTTGCTACATAAGAAATTACCCCAGTATCCAGCTTAGAAGAGCAGACATTGTTCTCACATGTTCTCTGGGGGTCATGAAAGCGTTAGCAGCTCAGCTGGGCAGTGCTGGCTCCCGTCTCTGAGGAGATTGCAGCCCTCCTGTTAAAGAGAGTTACAGCCTGGGAAGGCTTCACAAGGGCTGGAAGGGCCTGCCTCAAGTCTCACCCCTGTGACTGTTAGCAGACCTGGGTTCCTCAGCACCAAATCTCTCCACAGAGCTGCTCAGGACAGACATGACCTCCTCAGAGTGAGCTATCTAGGAGAGGACTTCGGGGAAAGAAGGGAAGAAAGCAGGAAAGGAGAGGGAAAGGCAAAGGGAAAGGAAAACAAGTGGAAGAGAAGGGTAAAGGAGAAGAATGCAATGTGGAAATAAAACCCATAAACCAAAAAATGAGGAATCATCACTTTTTCCATAATCTCTTGACCTTACAGATCATCCTATTACAATGTGGAAATGAAATATACGGGAGATAGAAAGATAGATAGATAGAAAGATAGAAAGATAGATAGATAGATAGAAAGATAGATAGATAGGGATTGGGGTTTATTTAGAGTAAAGAGTATTTCTTCAAATGAAAAGTCATTCAATAGGTTAAAATAAATGATGTCCTTCTTAATTATATCAAAACCTGTCAATTTCTCTATCTGTAACCCTGTTTTAGCAATATAAATTCCATAATTGTGCCATTGCTAAACCTAAATGTCATTTAAAGAGGTTCTCTGATTCTTTTTCTTTTTAAGTACTTCTTATCTTCAATGTTTTCTGAAGGGTTTAAGTAAAATTCTTCTTAATTTTGTAGGAAACAATTTTAAGTATGTCATTTATAGAAACATCTAATTGTTTTCCTATGCATTGTTTCCTATAAATACTTTAATAATGATAATAATTTAACAATTCACTTTATCCCTTAGTAATATAATTCTTTACCCCTCTGTATGTTTCAGTTTTATAAATTTTCAGTGTTGCTCCTTTTTTGTCCCAGAGATTTAAAATGAGAAACACTTCAATAGTAATTTCATATCGCTTGAACCTAAGTAGAACTGATATCATGTCATGGGTGCAGAGAATTGTGTAATAACTTTAATATAGCCTCTCTTGTTGCTGATTTTTTTTTCTTTTTGTTAAACTAACAGAGACAAAACTGAGGGCTGGGGATGTAGCTCAGTGGCACAGTGCCTGCCTGGGAAGTACAAGGTCTTGAGTACCTTGTACGAAGAAAGTTCCCTGTACCAAAAAAAGAGAGAGAGAGACTGAGACATAATTGATTGTATAACCATATCTTTTTATTCTAGGTCTCCTAAAAACCCAGAACAGAAAATCATTAAGAGGGTGATTGCGCTGGAAGGAGATATTATAAGGTAGGTACTATTGTTGAATTCAAGTATAAGATGTGCCGATTTTTTATTTCATTATGAATCGCATTATTTGCAAAGCTCAATTCACAGAGTGCCAGAGCTCTGAAACATTCACCATGGGTTGCTGCTGCTTTTGTGGCCATCATTTAGCATTTTGAGATGTAAGGCATGCATATGTAAGCTGACTGCCCATATCATTATTCTGAAATTGTGAATCATAGGAAAAGATGCCTTAAACAAAGTTAACCACCTCTGTGACCACTAAATTACTGTTTTTCAGATATTAAATATAGCCCAATTACTTTAAGATCATGACAGCAAAGTACATTTTAGAAAAAACTCAAGAACATTTTATTACTTTAGCAGCAAATACAAAAGCTAAGAGGAATCTTTTATAATCACAGAGATATAAGAAAGCTGGCAAGCATGTGAAACCTCAACTACTGAATCACGGGCAAGAATAGAATTTGTAGATAATAACATTATGGTAATCAGCGTTTAAGCAGCATATTTATTACTTTTGCTGGAAAATCAAGTATATTTGAAACAGAACAATTAGTTATGTGGCATCTTATATGTCATTTTGATTACTTACTTTAGATAAGTTATAGTCAAGTATGTAAAATATACAGCCAAACGGCTTTGAAATCAATATTCAAAAAGGCTCTGATCCTGTTTTACCAACAACCTTCATCCTAAAATATCTGGATAGATGTTAGTACAGATTAAGTACTTTCAGTACAATGATCCTCAGTCAGCTGCAGAGAAAAATCTAGACGAGAGTTCTGAAAGCAGGGCCTGAATGTCTGGGGATCCCTGTAACCCTTTCTGGGGAGGGGGAGTCTATAAGGTCAAACTTTTTTTCCTTTTTATATCAGCACATATCTGCAGTACATAGAGATTACTTTCAGCTTGGCAGGTTGGATCAGTTTGTGATGTGTACATTTCTCCAAGCTTTTTTCTCCGTATTGCTAAGTATTTGTTTGTCCTTCCCACTCTCCTTTTGTGAGTGTGCAGAGGAATTTTCTAGATGTGTGATCGATCTTGCAGTACATCGAATGCAGCATCAGAAGTGACAAGCTAGCTCTCGTCTACTAAATCAGATGCTAAAAAGATTTTTAACAAGCATAAAAAATTACCAGTATTTTCTTTTTTTAGAAAGCAAGTGTATTTTTATTAAAAATATACTTGATGACATCATTTTATAATTTTTAAAAATTAAATGGATAAAATATTTGAAGTAAAATAATTATTTTAAAATTTCAAGTATTATAAATAGTGATAGTAGTATCCATATAAATAAATATGTCTTAAAATCCTAACTATTTCATTTTTTTCCTCCAGTACTGGGAACCGAACTCACAACCTTGCACTTGCCAGGCAGGCTCTTTGCCACTGAGCTAAATCCCCAGCCCCTAAAATCCTAACTATTTTTAAGCATGTAAAGGAGTGCTAAACCAAACAATCTGAAGACTTGCTAAGGTAAACGTCAGTGGCAAGAAATTTTTAAATCAAGATTAAAGGCTTACCAGTAGCCTGTATGATATCAATGGAACTGTTCATCTATTTTTTTGTTGTTGTTTTTCTGGTACTGGGGATCAAACTCACGACCTTGCACTGTCGGGCAGGCGCTGTGCTGCTGAGCTAAGTCCCCAGCCCCTTGGAACTGTTCATCTATAAATATCTAAATAATTTTAGCATTTAAGAACCAGTGTGTGGATATGATGTCAATACCATTAAACACTAAGTCAGCAAACTTTGAAAACTTCATTGAAGGTGAAACAAGCCAGTCACAAGTAACTCCGTATTATATGATTCCATTCGTATGAAATGTCCAGAATAGGCAAATTCATAGAAACAGAAACAGATTAGCGATCCCCAGAAGCATGCGAGGGGGTGGGAGGCCCTACTAAGGGGTACAGAGTCTTTGATTTTCGTTTTGAAGGACAGGAAGACATCCTAAAACTAGATTATACTGATTGTTGCACAATTCTGTTAATATGCTAAAAACATTCAGTTTTGTATTTTAAACAGATAAATTGTATCTTACATGACTTGCATCTCAATAAAGCTATTTTTTTAATGCAAAGGAATTGGTCAACAAAGCAAGCAAAAATGTCACCTATGTAAAGTAATCTGACAGAATTAGGGATGCCGAGGGATCCACTTTATGTTATAATCCAAAGAGAACACAGCTTCTAATTCAGCTTTATCATTATTGGTCACTAGCTGAACAGTCAACAGTGAGATGATTGCAGAGCTCGCCCAGACACAAAAAGCCCTGGGCCGTCAGAAACCCCACCGCAGGCTTCTCTAAGAGCAAGCTGGGCTTGTTGCTTTCCTCGGCAAATGCTAATGTTGGATTCCCGGAGCAAAGCAAGAGTGAAAGCCAGGGCCAAGCTTAATGGCGCAGGTTTGGGGGCTGGGGGAAGGGAGTCAGTGACGTTGTGGGTCTAGGTCTGTGCCCTGTTTTGCACATGCGAACTCTGCACACTGACACGAGGGACACATAGCCCCATTGGTCCCCATTCACTACACCGCAACTATGGAGCAGTAGATAACCTAAAGAATGGCGGTACATAGGTCGAGACTTTCCTCTGGTGTGGCTTCTCACCGTATTTCACAATTAATTAGAAAAATGATCCCTTTTTTTAGTGTTTTGTGTTTTTTAACTAAAATGTTAAATTTATTTTCCTTGAAATGTTGGCACCTAAATATCCTGGGCTTTAAATAAGTAATTAAATATATTCATAAAATGATTTGTAACAGTGTTGAAAAGTGTTCAGGGATAATAAGGTAATGAAAATATCATTTCCCTATGTATTCCTTTTCTCTGTGATGCGTATTTTAAATGGTAGAATGTATTTAAACACAATCACAGATTTACGCTTTCTAGATACAGCTAGAAGTCATTAGTCTATTAGCGCCCTGGCTGAAGACAGGCAAGGTGCTTTGGTTCCTGACATGAGTTTTCCAGCATCAGCTTTCTTAATATGACCCTGTTACTCCATAGTCAAGCTAAGCACACATGTGGATTATTCTTCCTTTGGAAGTAACTGATCTTTCATAAAGTGATCAGAGGGAAAAATATTACTTTTTAGGATTTAGTTACACTTAATGTAAGTAACAGTAATATTTTTAAATTGAATTACACATAATTAGAGAACAGAGAAGAACCATGATCTTTGTTAGCCCAGTTAAAGGCTTAATTCAGTCTTCTATTTAATGTATAGTACTGTTTAAAGTTCATGTTGCTGTAACCACATATGTAGTGAGATATAGTTTTTTTTTGGTACTAGGAATCGAACTCAGGACCTTGTGCTTGCCAGGCAGGCACTGTGCCACTGAGCTATAGCCCCGGCCCTGAAATATAGTTTTAAGAACACTTATGTTGTGTATACATGAGGAAGCAAGGATAGTAAGGAGCCAAGGATCAGCCAAGACTCACTGAAGAACAGTAATGGGGGGAACTTCTGGTTTCTGTTACTCGCCCCCATACGGACTGGCACCTTGCTTTTGTTTGTCTGTTCTGTATTCCCGTTGATTTTTGCACCATTGGCAACTGCTAACTTTCTGGAATGTTCCTCCTTTTTGAATTCTTGGGAAAAAAAATTTCAATATGCCCCTTTGAGATAGGCATCTAAGATGTGTCTGATAAACTGCTGGTCAACAAATTAATCAGCTGCCTCTGCCCTAGCTGCCCTTGCTTGATCCACTCAGAGATTGCCACCAGTCACTTGGTCTACCATGCCTTGTAGGTGGAAGGAACCTATTGCAAGGGACGTGTGGGTGTGAAAGATGCTGTGAGACATCCGCGGACAGGCCTCTGCAATTAGCAGTCCTTTGCTCAGCATTACCTCTTGAAACCTCAGTTCAATAAGACTAATCTGTTCTCTTTAGTTCTTGCTTTATTATTACTTACTAAGAAAGGTAAAAAATAATTTCTTAGTTAAAAAATAGAACAGCTTTATTGAACTCAGAATATTACAGTGAACATCCTTGCGTACAAATCTTTGTACAATTATTATTGCTGTAGAACATAGCTAGAAGTGGAAATATTAGGCTAAGCTATGTTTTTGTGGTGGTTGATTATTGTTATTTTCAGCTCTAGTGCCAAATTTCCTTTTCAGGAAGTTTTTGTATATTTATATTCAGCACCACTGGATTAAATGCCCTTCTCTGAGGAAATTGATTTAAAGACCATGTGCAGTGGGGAAGCTGTAGACTTCAGATTCAGAAGCTGAAACACTTCAGGACAAATTTCAAAATTAGCTCTAGATGGTTAGGTTGTATTTCATGTCACTTCACCCCCAGTGTAAACTTCAGTGCCATTCATTTAATGGACACAGGGCTGGATAGCAGAGAGACATAAATGGACGAGTATCCAGTGCTCATGCTGCTTCCATTCTAGTTGTTGGAAGCAGACAATAAGTAAACAAGCACGTAGCGTATAATGCAATATTATAGGTCAGAGGTGCTATAGCGGCTGGGTTTTAGGTAATGTGATCACATGCAAACCTCTGTAAAGAGAAAATATTTGAAAGACTCTAAAATTGAAGAAGAGAGAAAGAAAAAAGAAAAAGAAGAAAAAGAGAACCATGCTAGTTTCTAGACTAAGTACAATGTAGACCAAGGAAATTACAAAGACAAACCTGACACGGGTACATACTAGTTAAATTCAAGGAACTGCAAGAAACCAACAGGTAAAGGAAAGGAATTGAGGTAAGAGATTAGGTCTGCGAAATCTGCAGTTTTGTGGTTGTACTAAGAACACTGGATTTATGTGTCAAAGATGGCCTTTGCTACTTGAGGCAGCACGATCTGATTGGTGTTTGTAAGGGATCACTGTCTGTAGTCTGACTTTCACAACTGGTCTCCGTATTTCTCTCTTGAGAAAATAATGTGTAGCTTTTTGTAAAAGTAGTTAAGTGTCCTTGTTTATGACATGCATGATAATGACTACTTTGATTGATTTTCAGTGACTCAAATAAAAGTAGTCTCAT